TATTTTCCATTTTCCACCTTTTAGATTGTTTGATAGGAAAATTTTTATAGGCAATTGGTTTTCCAACTTATACATCACGTGACCCCATTTTTCACATTTTCCTTGAATTTGTTTTTTCATGGGTTTGGTGGTTTTTGATTTTCTACGCAATTTTTATTTTTTTAAAACAAATTCTATCCCTTTAATGAATAATTTTCATGGACAACAAAGACTAACGAACACCAAAAGATCCAAAATTTCAATATTTTCTAGGTGGAAAATTAAACAAATCAAACACAATTAATTGACAATTCACAGTAAAATAAGTTATAGGCAATTCATTTTTCTGGAATTCATTTTCTTTCTATCCAAATTTCATTCTTGCAATCAAACATATATTAAGAGAGTACTTATTGCTATAGCTAGATGTGAAAGACATCCATGTGCCCTGAAAAGCTCTTGTTCCCTTCATTATGCTAAATCCACTTCTATAACACTTGTAACTGACGACCAATGCATGACCTCAGTTGACATCACACAATGAAGCAAGAGATGAGAAACCAACTCCGTCTCTGTTTTCAAGCAACCCCAGCTTAACACAAGTTTCCTGCACCGCCTCAATATGTCAGTAGAAGAATTGCCTTGTACCAGAAAAGAGTACAAAGATTTAATGTGAACTATTCTCATTGCCGTCTTAGTACCTTCATTGCCCTCGCCCCTTTACTGTGCCCTGCGCATCATACAAGCTGGCATACAAATTCTTCACACGACTAATATTTCGAACTTTTAGCAGCTCTTGGACGAAACATTTTTGAGTCACCCCAACTACTTATCCAACCAAAATAACTGTCAGCTCTCATTGCCAATCTAAAAGCCGAAATATTTTGAGAACTCAATCCAAGAGTTAACTAGTCATATCCATAACTCCATAAGAAAGTTGGATCTTCCCAACTGCGTGTTTTGGAAGTGCTTCTTTTTGGTCATTTGTACTAAACCATAATTTTGACATGTCCCTGTGATTTTTTTTTTTTTTTTTTCATATATGAAACTGGTTGGAGTTTGTATTTTATATTTAAGCTTGTCAGTATCAAGTTTCGGACTCGTTTCAGGGTGTTGGATGAGCTGTGGCATCCAATCTAATGATTACTTCCTTGGAGTCTAAGGCTTCTTTTGTAAAATATCGTTTTTATTGTTGTCCGGTGTAAGGCCCAGACTCACAGATATTAGAATCAAGATACAACAAACTTAAATCGACATAAAACTAAATCTGCAGAAAGTACAATGAACACAACAGATTTTTCGGCCTAAGCCCCAGAG